ATATTAGAAAAATAGCTGAATGACTAAACAACAGCAACAACGATTTTCACTTTATAGTTTCTTGAAAGGCCAGTCATTAAAAAACAACAACAACAACAATGGGAACAATATTAGAAAAATAATTTTCCACTTTTATTTCTTTCCAGTATATCCAGGAGGCCCACTTCAGACCTGCTGATTACATTCACTATGGATGAAGCTGGCTATCCTGGGGTGTAATTAACATTATGTAATCACCCACCCATCTTTGTTTCTGCTGTTGCCATAACAACATCCGTTCAGCACAACCACTTGATGGCATTATAAGGGTGTTTAAAACCTCTCATTTTGTAAGTCTTTGGAAGAATTGGTTTCCCCTGAACTGGACGGCAGAATACCAAAAATAAATGGTTATGAATAAATAGATTTAAGATCTAACATCAGAGGAGTCCTAAAAGTTTAACAGAAAATTTTTTGAAGCGCCTCTTATATCTTCCTCCCACTGAAAAGACAACCAGCAGGAAAAACAGTGGCCAGAGATCAATTGGAATTAAAATCTGAGCGAGAGCTGTCGGTGCCATCCTGAGGCGCACACACCATGTGATGTGAGCCCTGCTTTTCTCCTTTTCTCACCCTTTCCCAACATCAGGGTCTTTTCCAAGGAGTCTCCTCATGAGGTGGCCAAAGGATTGGAGCCTCCGCTTCAGGATCTGTCCTTCCAGGGATCACTCAGGCTTCTTCTAGGCAGGACCAAAGGGTCACCTTGCCTCTCGAATCGTTGCCCTCTCAGTAGCTGGCCAGAGCCCTCTTTCTCAGAGAAGGGAGAGTCCTCACAACTTATCTCTATCCTCAGCTCCTCCTGGGTCTCGGTGTTCTGTGGTTCCTAAAGGAATCGACGTCTGCGGGCTCAGAGTCTTTATATGATGATGGTGGTGTTCAGACTTCCTTCGTTGTGTTTCGCTTTCATCTGGTAATCTCCGGATTGCAATGTGAATGATGTCCAGCTAAGGTTGGTTTACAATATATGTCAGGTTAATTAGACAAAATAACTAGTTCATTCAAAACTCTGGTAATATTGCACACAATGAACATGATACACAAAATTAAAATACAGCGTTTGCAGACAATCAAATCTGTAGGTCCATACATCCACACACACACCAACTATCAGGGCTATTGTGATGTACCCTCCTTGTCTTGCAAGTCCTGAAAAGCCAGAGGTAGACCTTTTTTTCTGAGATAGGTTTATAATGGGGAAGCAAGGCATAATATTCGAGAGGGGCTCTGTACAAACCCAAGAAAGTAAGGATCATTGCTAAAGAATTTATTAAACTGTAAGGGTGAACATCACAGCCTAGAAAGCTGGTGGATGACATTTGAGCAAGTCATAGATTCATGACAAGTCCTAGGTCAGAGGGCTGGTGTGATGATAAGAAGAAACATTCATGTTACTCTACCATGGTTATTTTACCATTGTTAATTTATGACCGATGTTCTCATATTCTTTACAGCACAAACTTCTACTAAAGACTTGTGTATCAAAGGCACTGCCATCACAATACGTATTTAACACCCACTGAATCTCTTACCAACCAAACAACCACAATCTTTATATTTTGCTATCTATATCTTGATCCCATGTATACATTTTGCCATGTTATATCTCCTTCTTTTCTGTCTGATGAAATAGATTTGTCCATGAAAGCTCACATTAAAAAAATATAAAAATTAGTTTTTTAAGATGCCACCACATTTGTTTTGTGTTTTTTTTTACTTTGGATTTTGATTTTGTGTTCACCTATTAAAAAAAGAAACGTGTGTTGCCCTGAGCTTGGAGGAAAGGCAAGATATATAAATCCAACAATTTATTTAAGTAATAAATGTGCCAGTTATTTAACATACGCAGGTTTCTAGTGTTTTGACTTCAGTGTTTTTTTTCTGTCTTGATGTCATGTTTAGACTTTATGCTGTTTACTTTGTTATGTTTTGTAATACCCTTTTCATTTAATTGTGTGAGTTTTCACAGAAGAAACAGGACTTCATAGCCATCACTGGATGCAACATATCCGTTGCAGAAAAGTGTGTGCCGTTCAGTGACTAGGGGAGGCAAATATCCATTCCAGGAAGGCTGAATCTTCGCAGATAATGCTGTTTCTTTCTCTTTTCTTTAACAGCTTGATGCCAGTACTGTTGTGCTAGGGCATCTAGACACAAGGAAGGAAGGAAGGAAGGAAGGACTTCATAGCCATCACTGGATGCAACATATCCGTTGCAGAAAAGTGTGTGCCGTTCAGTGACTAGGGGAGGCAAATATCCATTCCAGGAAGGCTGAATCTTCGCAGATAATGCTGTTTCTTTCTCTTTTCTTTAACAGCTTGATGCCAGTACTGTTGTGCTAGGGCATCTAGACACAAGGAAGGAAGGAAGGAAGGAAGGAAGGAAGGAAGGAAGGAAGGAAGCCTTGTTTACAACTTATTAACAGAGTTCTCCTATAACTGCACCTCTGACAGGGCTATAGGAGAGCGACATTAACAAGCTGCAAATAAGGCTATTCAACCAATTTCTTCCCTGCTATGTGGCCTGTTAACGTGGACAGACCCCAGGAAACCCCAGTCCCTCAGTCCAACTTCTCAGCTCCTACAGCTGCCGAGGGAGTGATAGTTGTTGAAGGTTAGGGGCCAGAGACAAGGCAAGTGGAGATTGTGATGGAGCCCCTCTAGCCAATTGTTGGAAAGTTCCAGTTCTTGGAGGTGATGGAGATGTGAAAATATTGGAGTACCAAAGTCTCCTGTTGCTCTTCTGCAAGGTGGAGGTGTTCAGAGTTTTGATCTTTCTCACCCTTGTAGATTTGAGCATGGCTCTCTCCATTATGCCATTGTTATGGGCGTTTTTTGTGTTTCTGCAACCCCGAAGTTGTGCGGTGCCCTTCTCGAATCTCAAGCCAACTGGGGTGTCTCTGCGTGTGTCTTGTCTTTCTTGTCATTCTCCTGCTCCTGGCAAGGCTTGACAAGTTACCTGGACGGTTTATTGTGTTTTGTTTGCTATTTGTAGCATCAGCATTGTGATGAGATAGATGGAAATTGTTGTGACTCTTTGTTTCTGCAACCCCGAAGTTGTGCGGTGCCCTTCTCGAATCTCAAGCCAACTGGGGTGTCTCTGCGTGTGTCTTGTCTTTCTTGTCATTCTCCTGCTCCTGGCAAGGCTTGACAAGTTACCTGGACGGTTTATTGTGTTTTGTTTGCTATTTGTAGCATCAGCATTGTGATGAGATAGATGGAAATTGTTGTGACTCTTTGAGAAACCACCCATATGTTTCTCATGTTGGTAACATTTGAAATTTCTTTATTAAATAACAATTTTGGGACACAATCACCCTTATGGTATTTTGCTGAATTTTACATACTGTATTAATTTTTTTAAAAATAGCCAGCAGTGCTAGCGGTTTGGGAGGTCTTCTTTTTGATTATGCCATGCATGTGTATTCTGAAGACTATTTAATGAATGATAAGCAATGATAAATGAACCCTTCTTTAAGAAGACATTTATATTTATTTATTTATTATTTCATTATTTTATATATTTTTCCCACCCAACTAGTGGGAGAACCACTACTCTGGGCGGCTAACAGAACAAGATGAAAATAACATAGGATCAGAATAATAACATGACTAAGAGTACAAAGTAAACATCGCAGACAGTATGATCCCTAAAAAAAAATACATTAACTTTAAATCAGGCCTTCCCTCCAGCCAATTCTTGATTTTCTTCTTATTTTTCCTATTTTTATTTTATTGTAGTTGTTTTGTATTATTTATGTATTTGTTGTCTTTTATTGTTTAAATTTTATGTTGGAAGCCGCCTAGAGTGGTCCACTGGTCCAGATAGGCGGGGTATAAATAAATAA